AAAACAAATCACATGTAAAGAATACAGTTTATGGAAATGTAATTTACCAATGTTGACATATTCAAATAATAACACCAAAGGAGATCCCAAACAGAGTATTACAATTTGCAGTCTAGCTATATTTTAGTTCTATAATGATTAAATTCCCAATTTAGAATTAGTTTTTGAAAAAAATCAGAAGGAAGAGATAATCACTTAGCCTCTTCTTTTTAAATAAAAAGACAAACACTGGAATTATAAACATATTTAAATATAAGAAATAACAGATTTCCAGCTGGGGCACCTATAACCCCAGTGACTCGAGAGGCTGAGGCAGGAGGATCAAGATTTCAGAGCCAGCCTCAGCAACTTAATAAGGGCCTGAGCCACTTAGCGAGACTTGTGTCAAAATAAAAAAATAAATAAGGGTCAGGGATGTGGCTCAGTGGTTAAGTGCTCCTAGATTCAGTCCCTGGAACCAAAAAAGAAAAGAAAGAAAGAAGAGAAAAATAGAAAGGGAGGGAGGGAGGGAGGAAGGAAGGGATTTCCTTCTCAGAACTAGCTTGGGAACCAGAGAAGGACTCTGATGGCAAGCCTTCCTGTTTCTGAGTATATTGCACAGGAAATGCAGCATCTATATTATAAAGCGTCATAATTTCCAGATYAGAAATTCATAAGTCTTTTAAAAATATAATGTTATAGGAGAAAATGGAAATTTTGGATTTATGGTGGTWAATTTAATTTGCCAAACTTACGGAGCCAAAGGGTGCCCAGAGAGCTGGTGCAGTACTTCTGGGGTGTCTGTGAAGGTGTCTCCAGGAGACCTGCCCCTAATCAGTAGACTGCATGTGGCCTGTGGCCCTCCTCTCCAGCAGGGCGGGCATTGTGAACTCAGGAAGCCGGGTCGATGAGGAAGACAGGGCGAGGCTGAGCCCTCTCTCCCTCTCTTAAGCCCAGACATCCAGCTCTCGTGCCCCCAGTGTTGCACACTGGTTCTCAGGCTTCAACCTTGAACTAGATCATGCCRCCAGCTTTGCTGGATCTCCAGCTTGCAGGCAGTGGACAGTGGGACCTGCGGGTCTCCATAATGGTGACAGCTAGTGCCCATGRTAAACCTTCTCCCATGGACATGAATGTCAACGTCCACATATATGCATGTACACGCCACTATCRACTCACCCACCCGCCTGGCCAGGAATGCGTCCATTCAATTTTGATTTCTAAATGCACATTTCACAATTCACCGTCTTATTAGGAAGCACGATCCCTGCCTCCCACTACACCTCCTCCCTGAGGAGAAAGGAGGTAACCAGACATGGAGCCTTGGTTGCTGAGACAGTCACTGGAAAGTCACTCTCACCTTCCAGCCTGGTCAGTCYCAGCTGTAAGCCCAAAGGTGTGTGACTCAGATTCTGCAGTTCCTTTTTTTATCCTTTTTATTGTTTTTTACTTATTTATCTATTTTAATTAGGTGTACATGACAGCAGAATGCATTTTGATTCATTGTACACAATTGCAACACAACTCTACATTTCTCTGGTTGTACACGATGTAGCTTCACACCTATGAGCAGTCATTAGTGTACCTGGGGAAATGATGTCCATCTCCTCCCACCGTCTCTCCTGTCCCCATGCACCCTCCCTCCCCATTGTCCAGCAGAGTTCCTCCGTTTTTCCCATGCCTCCCGCCTCCCCGTTACGGATCAGCATCTACTTATCAKAGAGGACACTTGGCCTTTGTTTGGGGGRAATTGGCTTGTTTCACTTAGCATGGTATTCTCCAACTCCATCCATTTACTTGCAAACACCATAACTTTATTCTCTTAATGTTGAGTAATATTCCATGGTGTTTATATACCACAGTTTCTTTATCTATTCATCTACTAAAGAGCATCTAGGTTGGTTGCACAGTTTAGCTATTGTGTATATAGTTTCTTTTTTAAAAGTAAAGTAGGTGTGTTTCATTCGTGAACAACTGAGAGTCTACCTGAATTTTTGTAGAGAAATAACTCAYGGGGATTACTCAGCAGGCATGAAGGGGATTCGCATTCCAAACTGGGACAGGTGGCTTGAGCTCTTGCCTAGGCTTCACACTTACAGCAACCACTTCTGAGTCCATAAAGAGCTCAGCTTGCAGTTCACTCCATGGGCTCATGATCTGGCCACAAGGCCTACAGCACACTACTACTACTGTTTCCATCTACTTCCCAAGGTCCTTGTCTCTGTTATTTCTCACCCGCATCCCAATGGATGAGTATCTTCTTTCTCCAAACTTACAGGTAAGGAAATTGAGATTCTGAAGTCGAGAACCAACTTTCCTAAAGTCCTGCAGCAAGTAAGGCAAGTGACTATAGTAGTCTCCTTCTTATCCACAATATTAAATGAAAAATTCCAGAAAGAAAACCCACTTGTAGGATTTAAATAGTGCACCAWTCTGAGAAACCTATGAAATCTTGTACCAGCCAGTTCCAGTCTACCTGGGCACCATACACTCCTGCTCTGTGCCACCCATTGCTCCCTCTGCCATCTGGGCACCACCGTGATTGTGTTCAGTAACACCTGCCTTACTAACAACAGCCCCAAAGCACAAGAATAGTGATGCTGGCCATTTTAATACAGACTGTTAAAACTGTTCTATTTTATYAATAATTATTACTGCTAACATCTCTCTCTCCTGACTGAGAGAGAGATTGAACTGGAGACTTAACCCAGGGGTGCTTTACTGCTGAGCCAAATCCTCAGCCCTTTTTATTTTTTATTTTGAGACAGGGTCTTGCTAAGTTGCCTACAGGCTTGCAAGACTGGCCTCAAACTTGAGATCCTCCTGCCTCAGCCTCCCAAGMTGCTGGGATTATAGGCACTAATCTCTTATTATGCCTGATTTATAAATTAAACTCCATTGCAGGTATATTTATATAAATATCATATATATATAAACATATATATGATGTCATTTAAGCCCATTTATAAGCCCAGTCCTTTTAAAAAATTATAGGGTATTTAATAACACTATTTAATATATTTAATAACAATGAAACTTATCATTGGGGGCTTCAGGTATTCACTGAGATCTTGGACTATGCCCCATGGATGAGGGGGATTATTGTATTCAAATCCAGGTCTTCTTTAGGAAATTTGATTTTTCCCATTCTATAGTCACCACTTTATCAGCAGAAAGACTCAGACAGGTCTTTTAAGATACCAACTCTCTGAATCTGAATTCTGGACCTTTCGAGGCTCAGGCAGTCAAGACGTCATTCCTCGTCCACACATGAAACATCCCTCACAAAATGTATCAAGCAGTGGCAGCCACACTCCCCAGGGCACCCTTCAGAGACACCTGGGCCACTTGCAGCTCCTCCTCCAGTCCACCAAGGCTCCTCTCCCCACAGTCCTGGCACCACTGAAGATCTGCCAAGGCCCCGGGGAAGTCCCCAGAGCCACAGCAGAGCCACAGCCACGCAGTCAGAGGTGATCCCAGGGAAGGAGACACCAGCCACTCTGAGAACAGAGGCCCTGTCCCTGCCTGGCTCCTTCCTTGAGTCCCCGGTCCTTCTCCAGCAGGCCCAGCACCTGTCTGGAGAGGACCTATGGTCCAGCCCACTGGGCTGGCTTGATTCCCACCAGAAGTGGGTTTTCTCAAAACTCCTTCCTCTGACAGTGTCCACAAGCCCCTGACAGGGGGCTTTGTGCGAGTAGTCACAGGTGGCGCTTCGCAAAAGCACCTCCCACCTGGAAAGCAGGCACAAGTCTCACTGAAAATCCAGCAACTCAAATTCTCGGCTTGTTCTCCAGAAGGCAAAAAAGTCAGTTCTCATCCTGGAAATGTCAGGCAGAGTCCGGAGAAGCCCAGGGACTGGGCAGTCAGGTTGGCAGTTGGCCCTGGGAGGGGCCTTTTCCCACTTGGTTACTGCTCACACACACCTGGGATCGAATACTAGGCGGGAGGGAGGCAGGGCCAGTGCCAAGGCTTCTGCCGGTACCTGGAGCAGTGGCGCCAGCCCAGCCCAACTGTCCTGGCTGYAGGGGGGAGGTGCCCCAATGCTGTCCCACACTTGACTGCTTCAACAACAATTTTTATCAACGCTTTTATGCACTGGCATCCAGTGGACCTTCCACACTGATCTTTGGCACATCAGTATGTTCCTGTCACTGTCCATAATCATCTATGTAATTAAAACTCTTGAAAAATCCCTTAATACCACTTGCATTTTGTGACAATCAGCACTAAATGTGTCCGAATTTCACTTCCATTTCTGCAATACACCAAGGTCCATAATAGATAAAAATGATTCTTTGGGAGAAAGTCTTTTCCCCCAGCCATAAATAAGAGTAGATTCACCCCAAAAGGAGGGGTTTAAATAATAACTGGAACAACCAAATCTTGCATATTGCCTTTATTTTGCAGAAAATGCTTTCTGCCGATTGTCTTCGGCTACTTTTTTTTTTTTGTCAAAAGGAAAATATAAAAGAGTTGATTTCACAATACAAGAGATTAGCTACATATATATGCTCAAACTCACACCTTCCAGTGGGCGGTGCAGTCAGTTGGCAGCTCGACTGCAGTCTGCTGTCCTCACTCTGAATTGTTTCTGTCCTTAACAGCTCAAATCTAACTACTCAAAAGCAACAAGGAAGAGAATGGAAAGTRTGCTCTGTGTCTCCCTAAAGTAGGACAGTGGAGCTTACAGACGCTGGTGCGCCAAAGTCACCCTACTTGCTGTGTGAGAAACAAATGCATAGTTTGGGGATGCGCAAAGGATTTCCAGCTATGAATCACGGGGAACCAGGCCCCACGGCCTCTCCAGACTGAGTCACCTGTAGCGGGCACATCTCTCTTGCAGATGATGAGCAAGGGGTGTAGGGTGGGTACCTCGCAGGTCCTCTTCTGACTTCAGCATGGAGTTGGCYGGGCTCCTTCCTCCCTTGGTCCCACCAGCCTGACACACTATGCCCAGCACTTCGGTCCAGTCAATGCCAGTTACCACAGCGAAGTCACTGTCCCTGGAGACAGGGCTGGGTTCACATGGAAGGCGGGGATACGGGTGTCCAGGAGGTGAGGAGGCGGCCTTGGGCCGAGGCGTCATACTGGCTCTCAGGAACGTCTGTGACCGTGGCAGCCCCTTCATACAGTGGGGAGCCCGAGGACGAGGCGGCGGACACTGCATGGGTGAGGGGTGCATAGTGTGCGGGGGAGCCGCGAAAGAACTGGGCSCCCAGGCCGTTGGACACCCCGGCCGTCTGGGAGCCTGGGGTGATGGTGCCGTTGCTCACAGACCACAGGCTGGGGTACTGGCTGAAACAGAAAGCACAGCAGTCAGGGGCAGGGAAGGGACGGAGATACAGAGAGCGGGAAGGAAGGGGGACAGGGCTCAGGATCCCCTTCCTAAGGATATTACTGATCACATTACTCGGCTTTTCAAGCAGGTCATTTTCTCCGTGTTACTAAATGACCACATTCTGAGGAGTATAGAAGCTCCTATCATATCTATTAACAAGAAGCAAAATGTTAGGAAGAGTATTGACCAACACCCAGCTCTCGGCAGGGCACTGCTACCAAGGCTGCCAGCACCCTGCCCACTCTGTGCTCTCCAGCAGAATGCAGACTCCTCAGATGCACGGAGCCAGTGTCCGAGGGTCCCAGAGGAAGCTGCATTTTTAATTAGCATGCTGCACAACACCGCGGTGATTCTCAAGGTCAAGGCCAGATGCAGCTGCACGGCTGGTCGGAAGGCGCTCTGTGAACACTCCAGGAGCCCTACCTCTTCACATCAGCATGGGTGATGAGGGACAGACCCTGGAGCTGGACCAGAAGCCAGTCCAGCCCTGCTTTCATTAGCTGTGGCACATGAGCTTGGCCTCCAACTACTTTTCCAGCTGTCTCCAGGTATAAAACAGGGTGTCGCAAGGCCAGTGGTACAGCCTGTGATCCCGTAACTCAGGAGGCTGAAGCCAGAGGATCACAAGTTGGAGGCCACCTGAGCAACTTAGCAAGGCTGTTTCAAAATAAAATTAAAAAGGATGTGGGGGGTGCGGTTCAGTGGTAAAGTTCAATCCCTAGTACGTCCCCAAAAGGAGGATATTGAAAATGCTTACTAAATCCTTTCATCTCAGCACATAGCAGTGAACACTACTAAACCATGCTAAAATTCTGCCATGTCCTACATGTAGTGGCAATGGCCCTTGCAGCAAGCCTGAGCTAATCAGGTAGACTACTGCTCTGTTGTCAGCTGAGCAGGGGCTTGGAAATACCCAGCACTCCACACTGAGCCCTGGGTCGGCCTGGCCAGCCGCTCACAGCTTGCAGGTCATGTGACTGGGGACAGCCACCTCGGAGCCCTTGAAAACTGTGCTATCTGCATAAGAACAGACTATTAGATTCTTATTAAAGAACTATTTCCTTGACAAAAAGAATGAAGTCTCAGGCATATACTAATATTCTACAGACATCAAATGCCTTGAGCCTGCGATCAGGATCAGTGACTGCAGGCTCCCTCTGCCCTGGGCCTCTTTCCTCTGGAAAAGGAGAGTCCACTGACAGCTTTGCTACTTTTTTGCTACTATGTAATCTACAGAGACCTGACTTTCAGTGACCCGCAGGCCTGCTGTGTTTGAGCTATTCTCCCACTACATAATTTTCAGGTAAATAGAAGCCTTTACCTGACTTAATCTGAAAAAGAAAAAAGACTTTTCTTGACCTGTGCCTGCAAGTATGCACAGGACTGTGATCCTGTGTCCACAGAAAAGCCGAAACACTTGTTCCCTAACTGAATAGCTGGCTCCTGTCAGAAAAGGTTGTAAAAGGTTGACTACACCTAGTGATCCCACCCACCTGGGAGGGACCGCGGAAGCCCGTGATTTAGTGAGCTCTTTCTACATGGGGAGAAGCTGAGGCTCAGAGAAGTGAGAATAGTACAGAAGCTGAGGCTCAGAGAAGTGAGAATAGTACAGGGCAAAGCCAAGACGGGGCCCTGGGTGTCCCAGGAGACGTGCAAGAGCAGAATGTGAGCAGGGACGTGGCAGCCGAGGAACACATCTGGACACATGTGGCTCACAGCAGAACTGCAAGGAGAAGCCCAACTGCCCACAGGAACATGGGGGAGGAACAGCCCAGAGGATGGACCCAGCCTGAGGTCACGGGAGGGTGCAGTTGGCTCCCCAGACATCCATACCTGGAGCCGGCGGGAGGGCTGGCACTGTGGCTCCCTGGGAGCATGCTGCCGTGGGCAGGCACCCCGAGGCTGGACCAGTTCTCATGGGACGGCAGCATGGACAGGCAGGCAGACGAGTTGTCGGAGTAGGCTGGGAGACAAGGGGCACAGTTGCAGGAGGGGGTCTCCCAAGAGCAACAGGTGTGTGCTGCTGACAGCTGGGACCACCCAGCACCAAGGACAATGGGGGACCCAGTGGACACAGAGCACAATCCATCAGCTGCTTCACTGGTCATTAGGTGAACATCTACTGCCAAACACATTTGAAAATACTTTCCAATAAGCCCAAGCTTTTTCCTTTATCATGAGATCCTCCTGCTCTGCAGAGACTGACTTCTAGACCCAGTTAGGGAGAGCTTAGCCTCTGGTCCTGACTGCTTCTCTGCAGTGCTGGGATCAAACAGGGCCTCACTCCTGCTGGGAAGCCGGCTACCCCTGAGCCACACCCACAGCTGGATAATTTAACTTTACACCAAGAATAAGTGTGATTTCAACCTGCCTTTCCCCACGGGTTATTTCATAAGCAATGAATGGCTATGAAAACCATGACTGCAGGCAAATTAAAAATAGGATCTTTGGGCTGGGGATGTGGCTCAAGCGGTAGCGCGCTCGCCTGGCATGCGTGCGGCCCGGGTTCGATCCTCAGCACCACATACCAACAAAGATGTTGTGTCCGCCGAGAACTAAAAAATAAATATTTAAAAAAAATTCTCTCTCTCTCTCTCTCTCTCTCTCTCTCTCTCTCTCTCCTCTCTCACTCTCTATTTAAAAAAAAAAAAAAAATAGGATCTTCCAGCCTCAGGGTCTCCCCTCCGGGGAACAAGGCCGAAGACCACTCCTCTCCTTTGAGGTCAGCTGCCATGGCTTGATGGCTTTATGGTGTTCTTTGGCTATTTTCCTCTGTTTGGGGCACACCAACCTCGGTCTGGGCACACAGAGTGCTTGAGACAATTAGACCAGGGGTCTTTACAGGCTGTGCCAACCAGACCACCGGAGGGCTGTCCCCCACCCAGCTACTGAGCGGGTGGATCTGGGGTGGGCTGAGACCATGGTTCTCAGGTGACACCCAGTCTCACTAGGCTAGTCAGGAAGTCCTGGGCAAGGCTGACCCAGCATGATCACTTCAGAGAGACATGAACTATCCACGCCTGGGTCCCCCGCTGGAAAGCGACTCGCGGAGCCTGCTGTGTTAAGTCTGAGCAGAACTCGGAGGCACGCAGCCAGGAAGAGCCCATGTGGGCAGCTCTGAGGTGGACTGGCCCCAGTGCAGACGTGAGAGCAAAGTCTGTTTTGACCCTAAGACCTGGAGTGCCAAAGGAAGGTCTCTGCCTGCAGCCACCCAGTGTCCCCTGGTAGGAAGACTGTGACCTACTTGGAGAATTGTTCCGATGAGCGTACGGGCTGGGGTAGGGGGCTGAGCGGTGGTTCCTCAGGGCCGGGTACCTTTCGCAGCCGTGGGTAGAAGGGAGAGAGAGGGGGCCTCCAAACTGAGGGTGGGGGCTGGCCGGTGGACAGAGGGTGCTGGTTCCAGGAAGAAGCCACCCCCCTGCTGTGGGAAAAGAATACTGAGAGACTGGCCTTGGTAGCGGCTGTTACTAAAGAGAAACCAGGGGGGGCCCCGGGGTGCTTTCCCCAGAGTCCTGCGGAGGTGAAGGACCCTGAGCCAGCACTCGGTGCCGCCCACACCTCGGGGCGTCGCAGGACCTCACCCCATACTCTACAGGCTAATGGTTTCAAACCTGTGGGCACCGAGGAAACCTGGGAAACTACCCAGTGACCTGAGCCGGGACCACAGCAGATGTGTACTAACACACCTGAGGACACCCCGGCCATCATCTGCTTTCTCTTTCTACGTTTTAATCTCTCCAGTCTCCCTACTTCTCCCCGCTATTCAAAACTGTTCTGTCCTCTAAAACTCCAACTTCTTCATTCTTCTTTTTAAGTGTTTTTTTTTTTTTTAATTCAGAAAAAGCAAACCACAGGGAGACAACTACTCTGCTTCAATCTCCAAACTAAGCCATGCACAGCCGCCCTGGCCTAAGGACCCCTTCACTCTGCTCCCAACGCACTGCTCCAGAGGACGCCCCTCGTTAACTCAGCCTAGAAGACAGGTTGAAAACGTCCATTCTGAGTAGAAGATGGCAGGAGGCTAGTTCCTGCCACCTGTGAAGAGCAGCAAGCACTGGCTCTGTACTCCCCACAGTCAATTCCCCAACATCCCCGCCCTCCCTGGGTGGACAGGAAAGTTTAGAAGGAGCACTTCTTTCTCTTCATGGAGGTCACTGTTAATACCTGCTCCAGCCTCCATACCCTGTAACTCCTAAAGAGTGAGGCTTAAAGCAGAACTGCCCATCTTACCAACCATAGCTCCACAACAACCCGCGGTGGGGGTGGGGGTAGCTCACAAGCTTCCCACAGCTCCATTCTTCAGTTTGCAACCATTTACAAAAGTAGGGTCTTGATCTCTCTTCCTCCCCCAGCCCCCTTTCTCCCCCCACCTCTCTTCCTCATTTACTTATATATTTGGTACTGGGATTGAACCCAGGGGTGCTCTACCACTGAGCTATGTCCCAAGCCCTTAGTATATTTCATTTTGAGACAGGAGGTCACTAAGATGCTCAGGCTGGCCTCAAACTTGTGGTCCTTCTGATTCAGCCTCCTGATTCACTAGGATTAAAGGAATGGGAACCACTCAATGACAGTATGATGAACTAGACTCTCTTCTTACCCCAAGTCTACTTCCTACCAAGGTCCCAATAGCCCATCCTAGGCACTGAAGCTGCCTCTGAGCAAAACAAAAGACCCAGATCAGCATCAGTGGTCCCTGGCTGTGGGCATCCACGGCCCAGGGGAGCAGGCTGGAGATGAGTTGGCAGCTTCCACACCAGAGGCCATGAGCCCGGCGGCACAAAGGGCAATCCCGCTCTCCACCCACACCCACAAACATGTGTGGCTCCATTTCTGGCTTCTAGAGTTCAGCAATTCTAGCCCAGAAACATGGAGGAGGCGGGGGCAACAAACCGTACATTGGGAGAACCCMGGCTGCTGGCCATCCCCCACATCTTCTATCATGTCTTTGTGATCACTTCTGTTGAAAAAAAAAATTGCAGCAAATTGTCAAGAAGGAGGAATATCAGAAAATACTTTGCATTTCCAGATAGTTCTGTGCCCAGGGGGTAGAGTTAGAATTCTCTCACCTTTCCTTAGCATCCAGGAAAGCTTTGGCAAATGGATTGTATTTAATTTTAAGAGCTGTGATCTGAAAAACAAGAAAGCCTAYCTCTTAGTGGATTGTTCATTACCAGAGGATTTAGTTTAGCACCAAGAAATTGAGAAACACCTAGAAATATTCAAAACCAGTGAGAACTCTTTTCAGATGTATTTTTCTATTTGGGTCTGAAGTAGCTGAGAAATTGCAAAGGAGAATAAATTTATGAAACGTTTTAAATGCCAATTTCTGAGTGGAATTCATACTAAAATTAGCCTATAYCCCAAAATATCCCATGCATACAAATCAAAAGGGCTCAAAACATAAACTGGGGTTGCCAAGGAAATAGTAATGTACTTGCTGGTTTTAGTTTCTGGTCAACATTGCAACACTGACAACTTAACCAACCAATCACAAATTCTCTATGCTTTGGGGTACACTTAGAATTATTTGTGGGCACCCAGCCAGTACTGGAATGCAGGCTTCACTCTGCAGGCTGGGGAAGATGCCACCCACTCTTTCAGGAAGTTTCCAAACACAGGAGATGCCCCTCTGCCCCCTAAGAGGGTCTCATAGAGCTCGGCCTAAACACTGTAAGCATCTTTTCATTTCAAGAATCTCGTGGATGTTTCCAGTTTCAGGCAATCCTACAGATAGCTAAAAAGAAAAATATGTTGTGTTCACAAAAGGGGGAAGGTGCTTGGATGAATGTTCATTTTAAACTTTTCCCCTGGTGCCTCCACTTGAGTCATGGTAAATTTGAAATGGTACACACCGTCAGGCAGGGTCTCCCATCCCGACTCCCCAGGACAGGAGTCAGCCCTCTCACCTCCTCGTTCTGATAGGCTGTCACTGCTATGAACTGGGTCTCCGGGAAGCAGTGGCTGGTGATCATGCGCTGGGGACCCCCGACTCTCACTATGTGAATGCGAGGCTCGTACTTATGTAGGGAGTTCAACATGATCTGAAATATTCAAAACCAGTCAGAACTCTTTCCAGGGAGACAGACTCAGTAGGAGTAGCAACCCCTGTCCCTCTCAAGACAGCAAAACATCCTTCCATMTGCTGTGGAAGAGAATCACCTCCAAGCTTCAGAAAGCCCTCCAGCTCTGGGAAAGGGCCTCTGCTGTTGAGGGATGTGTTTGGGAAGAGGGATTGTGATTACACTTTAGGGTAACCGGTCATCGGTCATCAGGAAATCTAGGCTGATAGGAAGGCGCCCTAGGCCTCCGCAGCCTTTAAAGGGCTAGTTGTAGCTTTTGAGGTGTCTGGTCTTCAGGATCAATTCCAGACTCAAGAGCAAGTTTGTCAAGAMTTCATTCTTACTGCTCTCACCTCTAGGTGAGACCAGAACACGACATTCTCCAGGCTCAGGCCTGCAGGAAACCTTCAAGCATGAGGGCTCCCATCCGCTGGCCCCCAGAATTGGTGTGRCCTTTATCAGATTAATATAAACAGAGCTAATGTGGTAGCTTCTCCAGGACAGAGGTCCCCTCCGGTCCAGCAGCGTCCCTCCAAGGTCTCCGGCACAGAAGGTGYAGCGCAGGCATGCCCTCCCGCCCCAGCCCGGCTCGGCCCTTCGCAGCTCCAGCGCGCCTACCTGGCCCCCTCCGTTGAGTTTGTTGGTGAGCTTGACTTTGCTGAAGGAGACCGGCGCCTTCATCCAGTGGGCGCCGAAGTTGGGYGAGTCKGGGTGGATGTAGACGCAGCTGGGCGCCTGCGGCTCCGGCTTGCCGCCGGGCACCCACTCGCCGTTCACGTACTTCCAGCGGTGGTTATCGGCGGCCACGAAGTCCAGCAGGAAAGAATACATGGCGTTGGGGTCCAGGCCGGACACGTTCACCTTCAGYACCGGGAACATCCTCCTGGAAAACACAGGGCGCGACAGGAGGACTCKGATCGGATCCGTTCCGCCCGCCGGAGGCTGGAGCCCAGAGACTTGTTTATTTCGGCCTCCCGGAGAACGTCCACAGGAACTTCCAAGCTCTCCCTTTCCCGGAGCCCTCCCGCGTCCTGGGCCCAGGAGGCCTACAGACTGTCCCTTGGCCTCCTGGAGGCAGCCGAGGAAGAGAACTTTTAGGGAAGGCTTTCAGCGCTAGAGGCCAAAACACCTCGAGAATCGAGGCACCTCGAGGACCTGGGGCCCCAGTCCCTCCTCCCCAAGCTTCCTCAGAGAAATTCCCAGGGGGTAATGGTCAGGAATCACCCGGGGCTGTCAACGGGCGGGAAAGAAGTCCTCCTTGCGGTAAGAGACACCCCGGCTGCCCGAGCTCCGGACGCGCCCCTACCTGCCGTTCTTGGTCACAATCATCTCATTGGTGAGCTCTTTGAAGCGCAGCCACAGCTCGCTCTCCTCCAGGCCCACGCGCAGCTCGCGCTCGGTGGGGTCGCCTTTCTCGCTGCCGGCCTGCAGCTCGCTCTCCACCGCGCTCAGCAGGTGGTCCACTCGGCACTGCAGGCTCTTCCCGGCGCTCTCGGTGCCCGGGGCGCTCATCCTCCCTCCCGCCCCACCCCACCTCCCCGGAGCTCCGAACCGCTACCCTAGAGCCACCTTCACGCCTCTCGGGCGCTCTTCTGAGAAAGTGGTGGCACGGGCCAAGACCCGCAAGAGCGCCCGGGTCGAAACTCAGCCGCGGGAGAAGCGCCAGGATCAGGATCAGGATGGGACGTGGGGGGAGGGGCGGGGGCGGGGGACAGGGGCTTGGGGAAGAAGAGATTCCACTTGAACTCCCGCAAGGCAAGACTAGAGTAGATCTCTGGGGAGAGAAATTCTGTCCCCTCCCCATAAATAGAGCCGAGGCTGCCGCGGAGGGGGGCGCGGCGGATTGGGCTGCGTAGCCTTTGAAGTGCCGGACGGCTGCCCATTGGCCCGGCGCGGCCATATCAGACCCGGCCGGGCGGGCCTGGGCGGCCCAGGGCCAACAATGGGCTCCCGCGCGCCTGTTTCCTGTAAATCCTGGGCCCCGGCCCTCGCGCCCGGCCCCGTCCCTACACCCCCGCCCTCCCCCAAATGTTTGCACCTCCATCAAAGCGGCGGGGCGGGCCCGCGGACCGCGGAGGGAGGCAGGGAGCCGGCACCGGAGCCCGCCCGGCCCGCACCTCGGCCAGGGGCCGTCCGCCGCCCGCGACGCTCCCCAACTCCCTCGCCGGGCACCCTGCGCTCTCCCCGGGCGCACCCCAGATCCCGCGGCCGTGCCAGCCCGAGAGTCCGCCTTGCGCTCACTGCGCCCGGGCCAGAGGCTCCGAGTCCCCTCTGGGACCACAGCCCGGCTCGGGGGCGCGCCTACCCGGGCCCCGGGGTGCTGGTCCTCCATCCGGCAGTTTCTGCACACCGGTCTGGATGCGTCGCTCGCCCACGGCACCTCAGGTGGTGCCACTAACGCCCACCACGGCGACCCACTTCCCCGCGGCCCTCACCTGTTTGGAGAGGGAAGCACCGCGCGCGGAGTGTGCCCAGGTAGCGAAAAGGAAATAAAACGACCCCTTCTAGGAAGTCTCCTCGGCCCCCTTATGAAAACGGGATTTGGGTGACCAGCTCTGCGCTTCGCGTGCGCTGAGTGTGGCCGGGGTGCGCCTGGCCGCCGTCGTCCCGGGATTGTTTGTGAGGCCGGTGGGCACGTCTCCCCACCCGCCGCAGCGCCAAGCGGTGTCGGAGCAGCTGGTTTATTACCTTTAGGTGAGAACCTCCGCGGGGAGAGCGAGGGGAAGGTGACAATAAGCAGGAAATAGTTCAATGGGGTCTCTTTAAACAATAACATTCCTCTAAACCCGAGCCCAGGAAGGGGAAAGAGGCGGTCTCCCACCAAAGCTCTGCCTCTCCTCTGCGCTCTGAACGCCGCGCCACCGGGTTCACAGGAGCCTGTGTCCTGCCTCAGCCTCCCGCTCTTCGCACGCACCCCGCCCCCACGCCCTGTGGAAGAAGCCAACTCGGCAGGTGGGGCACCCCGTTTTGACAGTCCTGGGCCCCAGACAGCGGGCCGTCTAGCCGGCAAACTTCCCCGCAGCGAGGCTGGGCTCGCTCTGGGGTGGGATTGCTGGAGAAGCCGCAGGAGGGGTTCTTCCCTGGAACTGGGCTGGACCGCCCGGGACTTTGGAAGAGGGCTTCCCAGCCGCCAGCCCCCAGGAGGGTGCCCGGATCCCCTGGGTCGCATGGGAATGCTTCTAGGGCTTCTTTCTGCGCTCTCCTACGTCCAGCGGAAGAGATCTCACCTAGTTAGTGTCCGCCTTGCTCCTCTTTGTTGTCTAGGGGTATGGAAATTCCCCGGGGGCTGCCCCAGAGGAAGTTTCCTTCTGCAGAGACACCAAAAGGATCTCATTTGCTCCACACCCGGGCCCTTCTGAGACGCCTTGCCGCAGGCAGGCGGTGGTCACCGCCGCAGGGGCTCCAAGGAAGCCTCCATGCATGTCACTCTCTTTTGGGGACTGTGACCTGAGACCCCCTGAGCCTGGCACTTAGAATAAAGGGTCAAAGTGGAAGGGAAGTGGAGGCAAAAGGAGGGTGTGTCCAAAGTGGTTGAAGGTCTCTATACTCTGGCCCAGAAACAGACCACCTCGGCCACTCCCTGACACCCAGAGGGGAGCTGGCCCCTGGTGGCTTTGGGGTGGACTTCCCAGGGTCCAGGAAGCTCAGGAAGACTACCATGCTTCACAGGTGGATCTAAAACTGTCCTTCCAGGGGGTCCAGCCAAACAAGAATGAAACCAGAAGAGAATGCTACATTTCTAACATGCACAATAAAATTTCCACACTACAGGTGTCCCCAGGAATGAAGAGCATAATCCAGAAGGGGTGCAGTTGGAAGACACTGATTGGTGTCACTGCTGTGGTGCCTCCTAAACATCGCCTCCCCACTTCTGGGGCTGGCTTCAGATCTTCCTCCCTGGGTTCTCAGGCCCAGTCCCATCCTCAGCCTTTTCAACGAAGGCTGCAGTGCATGACAGTTTACAGCCAAAAGCTTCCTCCAGCGGCTGTAAAGGGCTCCCAGTCAATAACAAGGTGCTTCCTTGGGAGGGAGGGACAGGCACTTCCAGCTGTTTCTCCCTCAAGGTCTACCTCTCCTTGGCTCACCCAGACAATTAGAGGAAAATCGGGCCAGGCCTCCTGGCCAGGCCTCGGGTGTCACTGTCCACTGAGAAAAAAATGACATAGGAAACCTAAGAAATACATCTGTGCCAGAGTGGCAGTTTTCCTTGGGTCAACCCCTCTCAGAAAATAAAACCTCGGTAGGAGCAGGTTCCAGTGCACCTGCACCCGCGCGGGCTCAAAGCCAGTCCGAAGAGGACTATACTCAGGGCTGTGACTCACAATTTCCTACAAGAAAAAAACATGTTTTTTTCCCTGAGAATATAATGTGTGTTCATTAAAGAATATGCTGTGGGCCCATACCTACATAAMACGTGTCACGTATATGAAAACGAAGACCCCAGGCACTGATTGCAGTCACCATCCATATTTTGGCATGTGCTCCTTCTCTTTTTCCATTCTGAATCCCCCACTGATTGAGCAGACTTTACAAAAAAACACTGGTAAGTCCTAGATTAGAAGTGATGTGAATATTGCCTAATAGTGCAWAATTCTGTCACCTGTTGGTTTGTCACTCCCTTTGAAAGGAACCCAGTGACTCTTGTGATTGTTTTTAAAATGACAAGACACAAATCTTTATACCTCTTAGCACTGGAAAAAAAAATGAAGGACATTGGGTTGTTTCAGGGGACTGTGGTTTTGAAGAAAAGAATAAATACACATTTGTTCCAGGACTCTCTCTGGTTCTAAGGTTCACTCTGCACAGTTTATCCATCACGGAAATAGCAGAGGCTGGCCACCAGGCTCACTCTGGGCTTCCCAGTGTGCTCCTATGAGCTGCAGAGGAGGGAGCAGCCCCGCAGGGTGTGGAATTAGATGGGGAGCAGCTGAGGGCTGCACCTCAAAACCAAATTCCATCTCTTGTGCCTTGAGAGCCACTGTGCTGTATCACAGGTGACAGTGTTCTGGTTGACTTAGTGACAGGAGTTCACACACTAAAACAAACAAACCAACACAGCCAGCCCAAGGTTAGGGGTCTTGGACTCCTAACAGTTCTTAAACTCCAGCACTTCTGCTCCCTTTGGAATTTGAGGTTGCAGAGGAGAAATTTGTGGGCAGCTGGGCTTGGGGACTGTCTGGTGGGTAATTTGGGAYCTTTCTGCCTGGATTCTTAATTTTGCAGTCCTGGGAGCTTCCAGGTTCCTCGGTGATGTGGTTAGGAGGAGAATCTCATTTGGTGAAATCCTTTGGGGTGGATGTGGGGAGAGCTCCCTGGCACCAGGGTCCCTTGGGGCAGAGCTGTTTGTACCTGGGGTAGCCGAGCTTCCCGTTCAGCTCCTACCTGTTCTGGCTTCTGCCGCCTTCTCCCCATCTCTTTTCATCTCTGGGGTCTTTCTGCATAATTAAGTGGTCTGTGAAGTTTTTTCCACACCACTCTGTCAACTCGCCTCCATGTCACTTTGGGGTTTTACTGCCTGCCGCCCATGCAGATTTTATTTCTCTCCGCTCAGGTTTCTGGCAGTCCTGATTTCCTCGTCCCTCATCATGGCATTGTAGCCTTCCCTCTCGGCCTTTGAGCTCCTTGAGTGTTTCTGTTCTCACAGGGCAAGGCTTGCTGCTTGTGCAGGCGGCTGACCGCCCAGGGGGTGTCCCCTACCCTCAGCCTCTGGAATCACCGTCCTCCACCTTTGTGGGAGGCTCCCTGTGACTGACTTATCTTCCCCAGGGCCTGCCTGGGAGGTCTCTCACTAGGACGGATGCCCTTCCACAGATCCTTCCTCCCGCTCCTGGTGGGGCTGGCCACGCAGGTGGCACAGGTGTCTAAAGAAGAGCTGCCCGTATGTGTGGCATGGAGCATTTCAACCCGGAGTGTGGGACTGAACGTTGGTGCCTCATAGTTGCTGAGGCACAGGGGCCAGAGGCACAGGGGCCATAGTTGCTGAGGCACAGACCAGAGCAAGCTTTATTGAAGTCTTTGCCTGGAAGAGACAAAGGAGGGCTTCCTGGGGAAATTGTGTGTGTGTGTGTGTGTGTGTGTGTGTGTGTGTGTGTGTTTTGTTTGTGGTGCTGGGGATCGAACCCAGGGCCTTGTGCATGCAAGGCAAGTTCTCTACCAACTGAGCTATATTCCCAGCCCAGAAATTGTGTTTTGAGATTTTGAGGATGAATAGAAATGAGCAGAGGTGGGTGAGGGAAGGAACACCGTGGAAGGCTTTAAACTGCTCCAGAAATCATGACGCATGCGCGCACACACACGTCCACTAGTGAGTGTTATGGTATCTACATACACACACACATCTTCTCTCTCCCTCTACAACTTATTTTGCAGACTCCTGCTTTGGCACTGGTTAAACATGAAGCCCCAGTCCATCCCCCTGTGCAAAGACTGSGGGGATCCACGCAGGTGCAGTGCACATGGAAAGGTTCTGGCCAGGCAAGCTCTCGTTTCCATCATCCCTGACCTGCAGAAAAGGCAGGCACTGAGTCCAGAACACAACCCACTGTGACCCTGGCTGTGGAAGGGGCTGGTACAGGGAGGTCTGAGCTCCTGCTGGGAGCTGACATCCCCTAGAGGAAGCTGAGTAGGGGCTGGCTTGGGGACCCCGAGGCCTTGGAGCTTGGGAGAGAGCAGAA